CGAAGAACAATAAAGTATACGGAATAACTCAAGATACAACTGGCCAATATATGATTGTACTTGAAGATTCTTATTTTATAAGGTATAAGATATTTGGAGAATGTGCACAATGCGGGCGATACAATACTTCAGAAGCATGGTGTCAGTCGTGTGATACTTATAAAGCTACTCAAGGATGGACTAGTGGAAATAAGGATATCGATAATTGCATTAAAGAAATTCAGCTTAAAGCTATTAAATATGAAAACGTAATTGAATGGATTCCATTTAATAGGTTATCCAACTTGCAAAAAGTTGATGAATCAAGATTTCAGGCATTATGGTTAGATGGGATACGAAAGGCTAAAAATTATACACGGTTACGTACATTGCCATGTTCAGTCGAACTTAAGAAATTTGATTGTTTACAAGTTGATGCATTAGAATTTATAAGAAATGTAAGTTATATATTTCGAGGTTTATTTAGTAGACAACATACTCATTTTATTGTTTATTTTACAAGTTTAAAAATATTATCCAATCGAAGAACAATAAAGTATACGGAATAACTCAAGATACAACTGGCCAATATATGATTGTATTTGAAGATTCTTATTTTATAAGGTATAAAATATTTGGAGAATGTACACAATGCGAGAGATATAATACTTCAACAGCATGGTGTCAGTCGTGTGATCCTTTTAAAACTACTCAAGGATGGACTAGTGGAAATAAAGATGTGGATAATTGCATTAAAGAAGTTCAGCTTGAAGCTACTGAATATGAAGACGTAATTGAGTGGATTCCATTCAATAGGTTATCTGAATTTAGAAACATCGGCGAAACAGAATTTCAGGCATTATGGTTAGATGGAATACGAAAGATCAAAAATAATACACAATCTCGTGCATTATCATGTTCAGTCGAACTTAAGAAATTTAATGGTTTACAAGCTGATGCATTAGAATTTATAAGAAATGTAAGTTATATATTATTTCGTTATTTATTTAGTAGATAACATACTCATTTTTATAATTTATTTTACAAGTTTAAAAATTGTATTCAGTTAAAGGATAGTAAACATAAAATATACGGAATAACTCAAGATACAACTGGTCAATATATGATCGTACTTGAAGATTCTTATTTTATAAGGTATAAGATATTCGGAGAATGTGCACAATGCGAGAGATATAATACTTCAGAAGCATGGTGTCAGTCGTGTGATCCTTTTAAAACTACTGAAGGATGGACTAGTGGAAATAATGATATCGATAATTGCATTAAAGAATTTCAACTTAAAACTATTAAATATGAAAACGTAATTGAGTGGATTCCATTTAATAGGTTATCTAACTTGCAAAAAGTTGATGATGAATCAAGATTTCAAGCATTATGGCTAGATGGGGTACGAAAGTCTAAAAATCATACACGGTTACGTACATTACCATGTTTAGTCGAACTTAAGAAATTTGATGGTTTACAAGTTGATGCATTAGAATTTATAAGAAATGTAAGTTACGTGGTTATTTTACGGTTTATTAGTGGCGCGACATACTAATTTGTATAATTAATTTTATAAGTTTAAATATTATATTCAATCAAATGATTTAAATTATAAAGTACATGGAATAACACAACATGCAGAAATTAATCAATATATGATCGTATTTTCTTATATGAGATACACTGAATATGGAGGATGTAAACAGTGCAAGAGACATAATACTGCTTTTACCTGGTGCCGTTCGTGTGATCATTTTAAAACTACTCAAGTATGGACTAGTGGAAATAATGATATTGATAATTACATTAAAGAAATTCAGCTTAAAGCTACTGATTATGAAGACGTGATTGAGTGGATTCCATTCAACAGGCTATTTGAATTTCGAAACATCGGCGGAGCGGAATTTCAGGCATTATGGTTAGATGGAATACGAAAGATAAAAAATAATACACAATCACGTACATCATCATGTATAGTCGAACTTAAGAAATTTAATGGTTTACAAGTTGATGCATTAGAATTTATAAGAAATGTAAGTTATATATTATTTCGTGGTTTATTTAGTAGATAACACTTATTTTATAATTTATTTTACAAGTTTAAAAATTGTATCAAATCAAAGGATATCAAACATAAAATATACGGAATAACCCGGGATACAGCTGGACAATATATGATTGTGTGGGATGATTTTTATTCTACAAGGTGTAGGATATATGGAGAATGTGCACAATGCGAGAGATATAATACTTCAGAAGCATGGTGTCAGTCGTGTGATCCTTATAAAACTACTCAAGGATGGACTAGTGGAAATAATGGTATCGATAATAGCATTAAAGAACTTCAGCTTAGTGCTACAAGACATGAAGATGTTATTGAGTGGATTTCTTTTAATAGATTAATTAATTTACGCAAGATTGGAGAGACAACGCTTATTGCAATATGGCTAGATGGAATACGAAAGGTCGAAAATAATGCACAATCACGTTCGTCTTCACACATAGTAGAACTTAAGGCATTAGACAATCCTCAAATAAATGCATTAAATTTTATAAGAAAAGTAAGTTATTTACATTCTTATATGGCTTACTAAATACGAATAACACATCTGTCTATTCGCAGTTTAAGAACCAAAATAAAGAATATAAAGTATACGGGATAACTCAAGATATCTCAACACAATATATGGTTGTGGTTAATTTTACTTTTATAGGAGATAAGAAGTACGGAGCATGTAGATGGAGTAAACATTACAATACTTCAAGAGCATGGTGACAATTATGTGATCCCTTTAGAATAACTCAAGGATGGACAAGTGAAAGTATCAACATTGACAATTGCATTAAGGAGTTTCAATCTATAGCCACCGAGTATGATGAAGTGATAGAATGGATTTCTTTTGACAGATTGAGTAATATTCGAGAGATCGGAAAAGGGGGATTTGGATGCGTTTATTCCGCAATCTGGTTAGACGGAAAACGAAAAATCCTAAATAACGGCAAGGAGTTTATACAGTCACGTACACAATCTTATACCGTCGCACTTAAACTTTGCCCGGTTCTCAAACAAGTTCTGCTGATTTTTTAAGAGAAGTAAGTTTTAATACTAGTTATATGATATTTTATATTTAACTAATAATGCAATAATAAAATTTGTTTATTTATAAGTTTAAAAATCATATGCAATGTAGGTTAATGGGTAGTAGCCTAGAAGTATATGGATTAACCAAAAATATGACTACAAATCAGTATATGATGGTTCTTCAATATGCCAATAACGGTAATCTTCGTTTTTATTTGAAATCGAGTTTTAAAGAACTTATTTGGAAAGATAAATTGTCGCGATTGATAGATATATCAAAAGACTTAATTCAAATTCATGAAGCTGGATACATTCATTGTGATTTGCATAGTGGAAATATTGTATTACATAAAGAGGGATCATGGCTTGAAAGAGCGAAATCCTATATTATAGATCTTGGATTATCTCGAAAAAAAAAAGGATCCGAAAATAAGAAAGGAATTTATGGAGTAATGCCTTATATTGCACCTGAAGTTTTATTAGGCGAAAATTACACGCAAGCATCAGATGTGTATAGTTTTGGTGTTATTATGGCAGAAATAACTATTGGAATTCCGCCGTTTGATGGTTATATATTTAATAGCGATCTTGCATTAGAAATTTGCAACGGATTACGACCAAATTTTGCTCAGGGAACCCCCGATTTCTATGTTGATTTTGCAAATCTATGTATGAATTCTGATCCACAAAAGCGACCTACAGCTAAAATTATTTTTCAAAAGCTTGAAAAATGGTATGGTTTTATAGAAGAACTTGATGAAATTGAAATTGACGAAGATGACATGAGTGTAATAGATCTCGACAAAGTTGATGAACCAGAAAAAGTAGAAATAAGTAATAAATTTTGGGAATCCGATGAAATAGTTAAGCAACTACCCATAACTTTGCAGAAACATCAAGATGTCACATATACAAGTCAATTTATCGATACTTATTATATTTCTCAACAATACAACAAATTAGTTAAAAGCGATAATTTATCTCAACAGCATGATGAATCAATTGATATTAGCACAACAGGTAAGATTTATTATATTAAATAGATATTAAATAATATTTATTAACGATATATTAATTAAATTTATTTTTCGAATAGATTCTACTGCAAATAATTTGAGGATAGTGTCGTAATTGAAAAAAAAACTTGATATTAAACACATTACTGATTTGATGTACAGTAGCTAGTTGTCTCTAAAAGTTTTTATTGTTCTTATTTTACAAATTTTGATTTTATTTATATTGTAATGCTTGTAAATAGCCTGTCATTATGTTGAATTTTAAAGTTTATATCTACCATTGAGTCAAATTATTTAATTGAGATCCACGTTTTATTACACAATATGAAAATAGTAATTATTATTGTTATTATAATTATTTTTAATTTAAAAAGGAAATCACATTTGGATTAACTTGATCAAGACATTACTATGTTATTATAATATATAAATCTTTATTACATTCATAAGAAATATTGTAATTAATTTTTTTTTTTAATCCCACAATTAGGTTGGTGTCATTTATTTATTAAATTATAAAGAACTATTACACACACAAAAATACATGCAAAGTACAAATTTCTTCAACCCAACTCATCCATCGACAGCTGAAGCCTCTAGATATGATTTATGGGAATAATATATTGGTCACCTAAAGGATGGGATTAAGATTCCAAACTTCTGATAGGATCAAAACCTGCAGATCACCTCCATAGTCATGACCATAAATTCAAATTGTGTCATCTTCCTCTTGTAGAAACTATACAAGGGGAAAAAAGAATAAAAAAGAGAATTTTTTGACAAAAAAGAAAAGAAAAAAAGCTATCATCTATTCTAACTATTATTGAAAAGGTTATCTCAATAAATTTAAAACCCAAGTCCTTTATAATTTCTCACTTCTTACCACCTGTGACCAGTCAAACTATTTAATTTCCAATAGAATAGTTGATGTCCAAAAACATTTAAGAACACTTCCAGGAAAGTATTTCTTGAAACTTTATGCTTAAAGACTTCTAATCAGAAAGGATATTGGTTTTTTATTGTTGATTTCTCTCTTAAGCCATGTCTTCTGGAATTATAGCTTCACTCAACCAGTGGATAGTTTCAAGATTCCTTTTTCCAACTATTTTTGAAATAGATATCAGTACTTTAATTTGTTACCATATTGGGATAGGACCTAGACCTTGTTGCTACTTTCTGTCCTCAAGAAAGCATAGAAAAGAAAAAAGAAAATAAAAGGATGGAAACAAAAAGAGGTCGCTTCTCTTCTACTCACAACTTCAATTTCATTTAATACTCTATACTACTCTTTCAACTAAAAACCATCTAACTTTTTCAGAAACCAATAACATCATCAGTTTGGTGTTGCATGACTAGAAACACGTGAGAAGTACGTGTCTTGTTTACTTTTTTTGTGGCTAATGTAATCAACCAATCCATGATCTTGACCAATCATCTTTCAGGAAATTTGGTGTGACCAAAATTCAAGGTCAAACTGAAGTAGGCAAAATTCTTTAGAAAAATTAGAAAAAAGAAAACACATTTGAGAAAAAAAAAGTGGGAAGCCAAAAAGATAATAGAAAGACTGAAGACTTCTTTGTTCTTGTTTCTCTAGATTCTTGAATCTTTTGAAGATCTTTGGAGGGTATTTTTTCTTGTCAGTTTTCTTCCTATAAAGGTGTTTTTGCCATAAACCTTTTAAATAGGTTTCTTGTATTTAGTCACAAAAATAAACAAAAAAAGTGTTTTGAAAAAGAAAAATAAAACAAGTGGTAACTTCTGTTTGCTCGACTGGTTAAAACCAGTATTGTTTTTAAGGAAAGTGTATAGACTTTATTATTATAAAGACAAAAAATCTTTTGAGAATGTTTGTTTTGAGGTTGACAAAAGAATCAGTGGAAAGAGTTTTTAAAAATATTGTGATTAATATTTATTAATAGATTTATAGATTAATTATATGTATACATGTAATAAAAAAAGTTATTCTAATTTTAATTTATTTTTTTTTGTTTATAATTTTATAACTAATTATTCAAATTAAATAAAATTATTTGAATGATTTTTTAAGTATTTTTATTAAAATTTAATAAAGTTTTTATTTGAAAAAATTTTTTTAATAAATAATTAAAATTTTTTTGCCTCTAATCAAACTGTAATTCTATATATTTATTAATTTATAAAAACAATAATATATTAAATCTTAAAACTTTATACTAAAATTAAATTGTATAATTACAGAATACTTGTTAACAAATTATTTGTAAAATTGTATATGATTCTTGAATTTTTAATATCAAGACCACCATGTTACTTATACTGTATAATTAAGCTATTTACTAACTATTTTATTACAAGAAAATAAATTTATTAAGCTATTACTATATAATATTAACTATTTTGGACTTTCCAAATCTTAACTCTCTAAGTGTAATTGTAACAAATAATAAAATTGCTTCTTTTTTAAAACTATTTTTTAGTTTTAAGAAAAATCACAGCCAGCCTTTATTCATAATGTTACTTCATAATTTATAATTCTAAAAAGTATAAAT